GCCCCGCCCCCTGGTGGCTGTATAAAGCAGGTAATCACTGAATGGAAACCATTAGTAACATGTTTAAATAATTAACACCCAGAGAATCAGACTCAGGCTCCGCCCACTCTCTCTGTGTGTGTGTGTGTGTGTGTGTGTGTGAACTTGACACTCACTGGAACCAGCCTCACCATCACAGCTGTGTTCAGTTACCAGTCGTCCTCACCTCGTCCTGCCCTGGTTTTACCTCCTGTTTGGTGTTGGTCCACTTTGTCTCTTCTTCTTCTTCGCTGGTCTGTCATCGCTCTCTCCTCCTTTCCTCTCCTCGATCGTTCACTTTCACTCCCTCCTCCTTCCTTAGTTCCTTTCTCTTGTTCCCAGAATTCCCTGTCCCGACTTTTACTGCAGTCGTTTCCTGTTTTTTTTCCTTGTTTCCTTTCCTCAGGGCTGTGGATGAAAGACGTTGTTTATTTGGGTTCTGCTCGTGGTTTGGTCTCATTACGACAAATATGTTACTAAAATAGAGCCACACACACACACACACAGATAGTGTTTCTTCTTGTTTACGTGTCCCAGGAATTCCAACCATTCCTGTTGGTATGTGGCACCCCAGCTGGCCAAATTAAGAACAACTAGACCCTACACACACACACACACACACCATCAGCATTCCCTTTAGCCAACAGTCAGCCAACAGGGGGCGACATTGCTTTGAAATATAAACAGAAAAAAGAAAGTAGCCAAACCTGAGCTAACAACAGTGTTAACGGTTAGCTAACGATAAAAAAGGCTACAGTTTCATCAGGAGACTTTGGCTTTAGGGAAACATTTGCCTGAAAGATAAAAACAGTAAAAACAGCTAAGAGCTGCTAAGCTAAGCTAAGATGAGCTAAGCTAAGCTAAGATGAGCTAAGCTAAGCTAAGTTCAGATATTAAAATGTTAGCGGACAACAGCCAGGATTAAAGAATACATTTCTGGTCAGAACTCTTCTCCTCTCCGTCCTCTGCACTCACTGGAACTCCCACCTGTGATTGGTACTGATTGGTACTGATTGGTACTGACTTTTTTATGGTTCTTATAAAATGATCACTACTTTAACCAGCCAACCTAAAGGTGTTCAACATCCGGTCTACAGACCCCTGAAGGGTCTGTTCCACCTCGCCTTAGGAATTGAATGCTAAGCTAAGACTAGCTAGAGCTAGCCTACAGTAGGAGGACAGACCACAACACCTGTAGGGGGCGCTACAAGCCACCCAGTCTGGGTCCATGATTCACTGGTACCAGAGGACCTGGACCAGCTGATACTACCCGACCAATCAGCATCCACGCCTGACAAACAGAACAGTCATT